CAATTGAATAGCACCTTCATCAAGATTTGTCTACTTTTGTTTTCTAGATAGGAAGCTGCAACTTTTTTGCTTTTAATAAAATATTTGGTATTTGATATATCAACTTATACATTGAGTTAAATTCAAATGAACTAGGGGAAATTATTTTTTCCACTATTTACCTCTTTTAACTATTTGTTCGATGATACGATTTGTAAAATTTAAGTCTATGTAATATTAATGAGCTGTGCAGGTTTTAGGGAGAAATTCTAGTTACTTTTGAAAATAATTAGAAATAGAAATGGCACTCTTTGTTGAATTTGAATTTCCCAAAAAAAAAAATGGCGACATTCTGTCGGTTGTCTTGCGCGATTTATTGTGCACCGTCTACGTTCAATTGCTTGATCTCCACTCATTATAGTCATATGATTTGACTTTTGTTTAGGACTTTGTCCCATGACATTGCCTTAACTTTAAAGCCATCACTTCCCGGTTGTTTCTTCCCCAACTTCGTTCAAAAACGATGGCTTCAATTACTTCAACATGGCTTCATTGAACACGTGCCCTGGAACCATGTCACAAGCACGTAGCGTGTTCTTTGAAATCTCTAGCTTGTAATCTAAATTGCAGTAATGACTAAATTTTTTAATAGTTTAATTTTTAATTTGATTTTAAATATTAAACTTTTAATTTGGTTTTAAATATCACCTTTGATTCTGAGCTTGTTCAACTTTTATTTTGATTCTAAATAATATAAGACCTCAATTTATTTTATCTATCATATTTATCTATTTTTTTCTTAGGTAGTCCTTGTAATAATGGTAATTTTAACCAATACACTTGATTAGAGATGATATTTTAGAAAAGAGAATATTTATTTATCATAAATAACTAACTTAATTAGTTTTCTTGATCTATTCAAATTAGTCAACTAGTCTTCTATTAAGGACCGGAGATAGTATCAAACTCTAATCCACTTTGTCTCTAATATTTATTTATTTTTAAAAGATAATCCTTATAGTAATTACATATGTTAAATGTTTTATTGAATCATAGTTTTAGTTAATGCACATGATTAGTAAAAATATTTTAAAAAATAACACATATTATTCTAAATAACTACTTTAACTAGTTTTTTTTAATTTAGTTAAATTAGTTAACTAATTTTTATATTAAGAATATAAAAAAGTATTTAAAACGGGAGATACTACTATATCCGTAATTGTAGTGTTCCGTTTCAGTCTAGTCATTAGTCGGCGGGTGATAGTCCCGGTCCTCCTTAATATGCTTTTATCTCCGGAGGCCTCAATTTGATGGTTGGTTAGAATAGTTTTAATGGTTGTTCTGAAGTTATGTTGTCTGGTGTGAACTTCCTTATAAATTGGTGCTTGATATGTGCTGTTTTTCACGTATGATTATCTATTTACTTATATTTTTTTCATATAATATAATTGACTTTTATTTTATTTAAAAAAAGAGATGGGTTTGCCAAAATTCATTTTCATTTGCGCACAAAATGCTTCCAAACAAATTATTATTTTCATATTTCACAATACTTCTTTTGATTCTAAATATAAGACGTATTTTATAATATAATTTATATTATAAAATAAATCTTATATTTAAGACTAAATAGATATATTTAAGATGTTTTCAAAAGAAAACGGTGGTTGCCAAGTCTCTTTTGACGCAATGGCGTGCATGCATGACTATTAGTTATATGTAACGAGTTAACTTATATTAAATGTTTATAAATACATTCTTAACACATATTTACCTCACATTTTATAAATATGTGTAAATGGACTTTCTCATGACTGGCAAAAAAAAAAAGACTTTCTTATTAAAAAAAACAAGAAAAAAGTGCTTATGATAAGGAGGGGAAAAAAAAAGAAATGATAAAAAGAAACCATTGAAATAAAAAATTGTACATAGGGATTGGTTTATAAAAATTATTGTCAAACCCCATACTAATGTTATCATGGGTCTTTATTTGTAATTTTTTTATTTCGACAGTCTTTTTTACATTTTTTTTAAAAAAAAGTGAGGAAAAAAGTCAATGATTTATAGTCAATTAATTGTGGACGTGAAGATAATTAGCCAGTTGTAATTAATTTGTGAGGAAGCAAAGTTTGAAGGAGATGATAGATTCCAAATGTGGTCACATAGACAGACAAAACGAAAGTTACCGGAAAATGCCATCCTCCTTCGTAGTTGGTTTGTGCGTTGAGATTGAAGGATAAGATTCAGATTCTTATTCTCACAATCTTGTTGCCATTCGAAGTTTCTAGGAACTTGCCTCCTCAACATCCTTGTCAATTACTCCTTCATCTTTAATATAAGACTCATTTAACTAATTTGATTAGATTAAAGAAATTAGGTAAGTTAGTTAATTATAAGAAATGTGACACGTTTTTCCCAAAATACCATAATCATCTTTCTTAATACCCCTCCCACTTCTATTTGATTATGGTTGATGAAGTATTCATAAGGGTAATCTAGAGAAAATTGATAAACATGAAAAATGAGTTTTATATTTAGGACCAAAACCAACTTAACAATTGGGTCTTATATTAAGGACCGGAGGAGTATTATTATTCTATATGTTTCTAATAATTTCTAAGTAACTTACCATCACTTGTGTTCATTAGAGTGGTGTTAGATGAGGTGTGATTAGAACATAATTGTTTTTTTAATTAAAAAATCGTTATGATATCTTATTACGTTTACTTATCATCGTCGAGATTTTTTTTGGGTGATAATCATCGTTGAGATTTATTCATGTTAAATATTTTTGTCTGTTTCATTAATTTCGAAATTTAATTGCATCTATCAAATATATAAAATTAACTCGAATGAAATATTATTTGATTTAATTAAAAAAAAACAGTCAAATACATAAGTAACGTGCCGCTATGTCATTATAAATTGTAAATAATAGATGAAAAAAATCCATTTTTTTGGATTTCATTAAAAAGATAACAGTAAATATCTTTGTTTAAATACCTCACATTTTTATCTCTTATTTATCCCTTTTTTTGGCTTGCGATGATGTTAAATTTTTTTTAATATTTTTCTAAACATTCCTACCTAGTACCATATTCGTTAGTTTTGAGGCATTCCTGCCATATTCGATTGTTACCAAAAAAAAAAAAGTGGAAGAAGTGGCAAAAATTTTAAATTTAATCATCCCATGCATTGGAAGAAGTTATTCAATTTTGGCAAAACATTTATTATACTCCAATATAAATATATTTCTTTTACGGCGTAAACTAATCATTACTTTGAAATGTAAATACATTGTACCAATGAGATTATGCACCAAAAAAATGACCTTTATTGGGATTAATGTACGCCAAATATACTGTGTCTATTTTATGATCACTTTAAAGTTATAGCTTATAAATACATTTCAGGTAAAACAATGTTTGAAACACATTTAATAATTGGCGGCAAAAAAAGTACATTACTAATTAAATCAAAATAAAATTTATCTAATGAAAAATCATCATATTATTTATAGTGATGAACATATTGCAAGAGAAGTTTTTTCTTTATTTGGCCTCATTTATATGTTAAACCACCTTTGCTAGTGTTTATAATTAATTAAATATAAGACTTCATCAAGTCATCCAAATTCAGATTATGTCTAGTTTTAATTATAGTATATGATCACATGATTAACCCCTTGTGTATAGTTAACTCCAACGTAGTAGTATTTGATTTGCATTTCCCTTTTTCTCCTTTACTATAATTTTTTCGGCTAATCATATTGTATACGTAATCCCGCAGCCGACGGTATAAAGCAAATAGTATTCAAATCCCATTATAAGCTCATGGACGGTTATCTTTTATTTATTTAAGTAAACTTTCGTTAATTGTACGAAATCCCCCCGGGGAATTACATATAACGTCCTGAGTTTTATGTGCCGCTAGTTATTACTCTTATACTTAATATAAGATTTTATTTGATTTTCAATATAATATTACAATCTATTTTGTTTTTCATATTTTTTAAGATAGTCCTTCTAACAATAGTAGTTATGGCTAATACACTTGATTAGTAAAGATATTTTAGGAAAGACAATATATATTTATTACAAATAACTAAATTAACTTTTTTCTTAATCTCCTCAAATTAATCAACTAGTTTTATAATTAGAACCAAATGTGGTATTATTATTTTTTTTTTCATAGGTTTTTGATTTGATCCGTCATGTGAGTTCTCTGCGTTTTTGAGGTCAAGAATATGAATAATACTAAATTTATTATGTTTATAATATTACATATGTTATAAGAAATTTTCACTTAATTTGTGATAATTCAGCTTTATATTTAATTTTATGTTAGGTTAATCTAATTTATTTTTAGAAATATTTGCTGGCAAAAAAATTTATTTTTAGAAATATTACTATTATCTTTGATTTTAATATTATTTTTGATAAAAAAAATTACATTACAAATATTTGATGGAAAAATAGTTACCGTCATCAGTACTTAAATATCCTGCTTTACATGTTAAATATATTTTACTCCTCCGGTCCTAATTATAAGACCCAATTGACTTATTTGAGGAGATTAAGGAAGTAAGTTAAGTTGGTTATTTATAATAAATAAGTGTTGTTATTCCTAAAATATCCTTGCTAATTAAGTATATTGGCTAAAACTATCATTATTAGAAGGATTATCTTGGAAAAAATGCATAAATATAAGAGAGAAAATGGATTGGGTCTTATAATTAGGACCAAATAAAAAGTCAAATTGGGTCTTATAATAAGGACCGGAGGAGTATGTATTTATCCAGATCAGATGAGTTGGATTATTTTTTGAAATGGGTTGGATTCTTTTATATTTTATGGGGGTTTTTAGTCTTTTACTTATACTGAGAAGATGATTTCAAAGTGCTGGCTGTGAGGGTGGAGGAAAGAGTCACAGAGATTCACTCCGGTAGATTGCGATCAGCCAGTTTAGTACTTCTCGCAAAAGATTCCGAGGAGTTTTTCAAAAGAAAATTTTGGTGGAAAAGAATTTGTGGAATTGTGGTGACAGAAAGAAAAATTTTATATATTACAGCGATTGCAGCGATGATAAGAAATCATCAAGGGTTTCGTAATGGGTTTGTGCTGGATTGATACTACGAAAATCAATATCTTCACGTAATCAATTCGAATTATCCTCGCCGCTCTGTTCAAGATTCTCACCTTTTGTCTGGATCAAAATCATTCTTATGTTTTAATTTGGGTATACCTGCTCTTACCCTCCTTGGATTCCGGTTTCTTTGTGCCGGGGTGGGCGTGGCGGCGGCTTAATTTGTCATGGTTGCGGAGCGTTATTTGGGTCTGTGACCTTGGTCTCTCTCTGGCATTTTGATTGATTGTTTGACCGGTGATAAGAGGAATTCCACTCTCAGCGTCATTACTGGTGGGCTGTTTTCATTTTGGGGGTTGAATTCTTCTACGGTTTTGATAAGATCGAAGGCCAAGGTTCGTGATTTCCCACGAAAATCTGTTGGTTATATTGACAGTCGAACTATCGTTGCAGTATTTCGCGCTGGGTTGATTATATAAATTTCATATATCGTGAAGTGTATTCCTTATGTGCCGAATTGTGGGGTGGTCTTTGCGAATTCAATAATCTGGGAATTCGCCAAGCTCTCAATCCATTTAAAAGGTTGGAGTAAATTGCTTGGTGCTGTTTGATTTAAAATCGACAATCAACCATGAGTTCCAGCATTACTGGAAGCTTGGTCCATGAAGGTAAGCTTCTAGTTCATATTGCCGAAAATGGACGCTCATATGAGTTGAGCTGTGATGAAACCATGCTTGTTGAGGCCGTCATGCGGCATATTGCATCAGAAACAGGGATTAATCTCAGTGATCAACTTGTTCTCTGTCTGGATATGAAGCTTGAATCACAGAGGCCTTTATCTTTTTATAAGCTTCCATCTGATGAAAGAGAAGTGTTCATATTCAATAAAGCTAGACTCCAGACCAACTCAACCCCTCCACCACCGGAGCAAGTGAATATCCATGATAATTTGGAGCCTTCACCGCCATCGTCCTCCCATGATCCTCACCCTCTGGATGATGCGTCTGACCCTGCTTTGAAGGCTTTACCTTCGTATGAGAGGCAATTCAGATATCATTACCAAAGGGGGCATGCAATTTACAGTCGTACCATACTGAAATATGATCACTGTGAGAGGCTTTTGAGGGAACAGATGGTTCAAGTGAGAGCACTGGAGATTGCAAGAGGTAATTTGGAGCAGTTCTATAGAATGATTAACCAAAACTATGGGGACTTCATGAAACGTTACCTGCAGCAGCACCGGATGCATTCGGATCTTTTGGTCAATTTTGGGAGGGATGCTGAGAAATTAAAATCCCTCAAACTTCACCCTGCCTTGCAGACTTCTACTCGTAAATGCTTACTGGATTTTGTGAAGGAGGAGAACTTGCGTAAGTCCGTAGAGAATTGCAAAAGCTCTCACAAGCAGTTTGAGAACAAAGTTTCTCAATTTAAGCAGACATTTGGAGAATTGAAGCGCGGGGCTGAAGAACTGTTGTGTGGTAGAGTTGTTCTTCCCATTAAGAATTTAGAACAAACAATAAAAGAACATCTCAGATATTTAACCGAACAAAAGAGTATCATGCAATCTCTGAGGTTAGTTTTCGTTCACTTTCTCAACAGTCTTAATTTTATCCATGCTTTATTTGAAATAGAAAAGAAATACTCATATACATGTATAGCTGCCGTTTTTTAGGGAAAGTTATATGGAATGGATAATGGACTGAGCTTGATGTTTTCATATTTTTTTTTGGGGGGGGGGGGTGTTTGTTATCTTTGAGGCTTTTAGATTGGATCTATTTGCATGGAAGGTATGCTTTAGCTCCATTATTGTGAAACTAAGGTTTGTTAGATAGTTTTTAGGGATACTGAAGAAGGAGGATTCTTGTGCAGGACGTAAGGTGGGAAAACGTATAATGAATTTGACTAGGGTACTTGTTGGCTGAAGATGTTCAGGAAATTGAAAAAGATGTAAATAAGGAGATAAAAGGGAGAATTTATTCAGATGCCAAATAAGACATCTTGTGCAATAGACTAATAGCGCTAATTGAGTTTTGAAGCATCAGTTAGTGGACGATTGACTTGAAGAAGTTACTTAGGATCATAATGCCAGTGGGATACTATTAAGGTTTAAAGCTCGATGGACCAGCTGATTAAAATTTGCATTAGTTAGTGGACGATTGGCTTGAAGAAGTTACTTAGGATCATATTGCCGGTGGGATACTATTAAGGTTTAATGCTTGCTAGACCAGCTGATTAAAATTTGCTTCACATGCATCAAACATCATCAGATGTTGGCTGCTTTATATTTTTAAGTCTTGCTATAAAGTGAATGCTCTATTTGCAGTATTTATTTCTTATTCCATATGTTTATATTTGCTTCATCCTATGACTCTTTATCTACTTGTTAATATGTGATATCATCACATTTTATCTCAACCTTTTTTTTGGGAATTTCTGCAGCAAAGATGTTAACACAGTAAAGAAACTGGTGGATGATTGTCTGTCTGGCCAATTATCTTCCTCACTTAGACCCCATGATGCGGTTTCAGCCTTGGGTCCTATGTATCATGTTCATGACAATAATCACTTGCCTAAGATGCAGGCTTGTGACCGTGCTATATCTAAGCTACTTGACTTTTGCCAGGACAAGAAGAATGAGATGAACATCTTTGTGCATGGATACATGCAAAGCATAACTTATGTTTCACATCTCATCAAAGACCAGAAACTGCAGTTTCCTGTCTTCAAGGAGGCTATGGCTCGGCAGGATGATTTATTTCTGGATTTAAGGTTGTTCCATGGTATCGGTCCCGCATATAGGGCTTGCCTTGCAGAAGTAGTGAGGCGAAAGGCCTCTATGAAGCTGTATATGGGCATGGCTGGGCAACTGGCTGAGAAGCTTGCTAGAAAGCGGGAGGTTGAGATCAGGAAAAGGGAGGAGTTTTTGAGAGCACATATTGCATACATACCTAGAGAAGTCTTGGCATCTATGGGCTTGTTTGACACCCCTAGCCAATGCGATGTCAATATAACTCCATTTGACAGTAATTTGCTTCATATTGACATATCAGATCTGGACTTCTATGCTCCTGAGCACCTTACAGGAATTGCGTTCAAGCTGGAGAAGCATGGAAGCTTTAAAGGTGCATCTGCTTTGTCAGGTGATGGCTCTCTATCAGCTGAGGCTGTAGATATTGCTGCCGACTTCAATGAGAGAGATGATTTTGAGGAGCTTCTTGATGGCAGTGAGTTGGTAGAAATTGCGGGGACTAGCAAGATGGAAGTTGAGAATGCAAAACTTAAAGCTGAGCTTGCTTCGAGCATAGCCTTAATTTGTTCTCTCTGCCCTGAGATAGAGTATGAGTCACTGGATGATGATAGGCTGGATAAAATATTGAAGAATGCTGCAGAGAAGACAGCTGAAGCCTTGCACTTAAAAGATGAATACACTAAACAAGTTCAATCCATGCTTAAGATGAAGCATATGCAGTGTGTCTCGTATGAGAAACGTATCCAAGAATTGGAGCAGAAATTGTCTGATAAGTATGTGCAAGGGCAGAATATTTCCAGCGTAGATGATGCAGCAGACTTTGCCCTTCGGGCTGAGAAGGCAAATAATTGCAAGCCAGAATATGCGAGTGGTGAGGTCCACATGCCATATGTATCTACTACTGAGCCCATGGATGAGGTTTCATGCCTCTCAAGTTCCTTGGATGCAGCGCTTGGTAGCCTATTCACAGCTAATACGGGCAAAGATTTAGATCATGGGGCAGATGAAAACATGTTGGATTCCTCTGGAGTCCAAAACTCACAATTGGATTCATCTATAGTGGAGCATCATCGCGCAGAAGTACAAGGTGGGGATAAAGATGGCAAAGATAAGATAGTAGGGCAACTAGGCATGTCACTAACAAACAGTTCTACAGCTGAGAGCACGCCTTTGCCTCAGGACCTTGTGCCTTGTGACTCAGTAGCTCCTTCAGACTTGGATTCCAAAGTTCATGATGATAAGTTGTTGGAGCTGCAAAGTGCAGTCGCAGACAAGTCTAAACAACTAAATGAAACTGAAACTGAGCTTAAAGCTGTTTTGGAGGAGGTTGCTTCCCTTAGAAGGGAGTTAGAAGCAAGTCGAAAGCTCCTTGATGAATCTCAGGTATGTGAACCTGATTACATAATTTTGGGGTGCTAAATTAGTTTGCTGAAAAGCACTAGCTTTGCTTTCTTCATCTATTCAATGTTTTGTTTCTGTTAATTCCATCAATCTCTATCCCATTTTCCCCCTCTTTCATTGAGGCGACATTTGGTACGTAGAAAAGGGATTTAATGAAAGGGAAAAGGTGTGTGAAATTTTTTTTTTTTTTTCATTGTGTTGATGAATGGCAAAATGACCTTTTTGGTAAGAGAGCTTCCCTGTTTGTGGGACATAAGCTTTTTCATTGTTATTCCTTTTTCCATACTCATTTTATGCCAAACGAGCTCTTAAATTTGCATTCTTCGGCATTTCATCTGAGAAATTGTTCAAATTATTCTGTGAAAGACCATAAATAAATTGTTACATGTGTCCTCTTTCATTACCCTCCATCATGCACTGTCGATCCTCACCTTAACTCACGCTGCTGTTTTTGGAGTTCCAGTTAAATGATAACACAATTTATTTACGATATGGGACTTCCTAGGCTTCTATATTTTAAGAAAACCAATTGAGTTGCCAACCGATGGCAATGTTTCTAGTTGACGAGTTAATTTCATATGACTTATGCTGGTTACTTGGTTAGATTGCCATTGAACTTGATTGCCAGCAACTCAATTGTAAGTATGTGGTGCGTGTAGTGAATTTTTTTCTTTCAAACTTAATTATATTGCATTGTTTCATTTATTTTTTAAAAACTACTTGCTGACAATTTTTTGGAGTGAGTGGGCCACTTGGTAAAAGCCAACCAAACCAAAATTTTTAACTGTTTTTAGTTGGAGCCATGGAAGCACAACAACATACTAATTCAAGTGAACGTGAAGGTTACTTTATACTTTTGACTTATATTTAGGCCTCTAAGGCTTGGATAAGGATAAAAAGCCATTCTGGATGAACTATACATTGTCGAATTTCTTACCATAAAGGCTTTTTTTTTTTTTTTTCCCACTTGTTTTCATTTTCCATAGTAATTTTCAGGACATTATTGATTTTATATGATATTACTTATCTCAACATGGGGTCCGTGGTCCAAATGAGTCCCATTATTTTCTTTAATTTGACGTTCCTCGTGTACAACAGATGAATTGTGCTCACTTGGAGAATTGCTTGCATGAGGCAAGAGAGGAGGCTCAAACACAAAAAAGTTCTGCTGATAGAAGAGCCTCAGAGTATGCTTTGCTGCGTGCATCTTTCCTCAGAATGCGCAGCCTATTTGAAAGACTTAAGAGCTGTGTTTATTCTCCTGGTAGTGTGGCTGGTGTTGCTGATCTCTTGCGTACTTTAGCGCAATCTTTAGCCAAGTAAGATACTTGCTTTGATTACTTTCTTTATTAATGCCTCGGGGTAGAGATGTTTGTAATTTCCCCCTCATATACTGGTATAAACCTATTCTCTCTTTTAAGAAAATGAAAATTGCGATTCAGTGGCAAAGTGCTGGACTGCTGGTAATAAAAGTTACCAGCTCCATGAACTTGAATATATCTAGAGTGACGATTGTGCATTTTTTTCTCCTTTTCAGCTCCACTAATGACAGAGATGACGATGATTTAGCTGATTTCCGAAAATGCATACGTGTATTAGCTGATAAAGTCGGTTCCTTGTCGAGGCACCGTGAAGAGCTGCTTGACAAGTACTCTAGAATTGAAACTACTAACGAACAGCTTCGGAAGGAACTGGAGGAGAAAACAGATCAGGTCAAAACTTACTACAATAAGCATCAACTGGAGAAGCAGGTAACTTCTTGTCTTTATGTTAGGATCATCTATCACTTTACTATGTCTTCAATGTGTGTTTTGTGGACCATTATTTGTTTTGGGAGCCAGGAAGAATGAATCTGTGATGTTCAGTTGATCGCATGGGTGGCCTTGTTGGAGATTCCTGCCCATTGGATTGAGCTTACTGTGGCTGGAAAATATCTAATGGAAACTTACTTTTCCCCTATGATTTTTCTGCAGGCAAATAAAGAAAAGATTTCTTTTGGTCGTCTAGAAGTTCATGAGATTGCTGCCTTTGTCCACAATTCAGCTGGGCATTACGAGGCTATTAGTAGAACCTGCCCTAACTACTATTTATCTTCTGAATCTGTGGCCCTCTTTGCTGACCATCTTCCAAGCCGGCCTAACTACATTGTTGGACAGATAGTGCATATTGAGCGCCAAATTGTTAAGGCTCTGCCAACTACCTCAGCTCGGACCGAGCTGAGTAGAGCCAATCAACTGACTGCTGACACGGGAACAGAGCGGTTGAGCCTGAATTCAGGATCAACTTCAAACCCATATGGTCTGCCTGTTGGCTGTGAATATTTTGTAGTGACAGTAGCAATGTTACCTGATGCCATCATTCATTCAGCATCCCCTTCCTGATCCATCCTGCTTCATCCTGGCAGCTGATAAGACGTGATGGAAGAAGAAGAATTCAATTGTAAATAATAAACTAGACATTTCAGAGATGAAATGCGCTTCACGGGAGTTGAACTTAGTAACCTTCTGTACAGTATGATCCAAATTCTGTTTGAAACCCCATCTCCTTGTACATATTTCCTCCTTTTGTGATTTTCTATTAGATGTGAATATTATATAAGCGCCATTAGTTGATTATTTGGGGTTTATCTTCATAAATTCTCTTGTTCCAGTTTAGATGTTTTGCATGTAATTTTCAGTCTTTTCCCTCCAAGTTTCTTGCACAAAAAGCCCTATTTAGTTTAATTTGAGAAAAGAGAAGGAAAAGAATATTCAATGATTCTTAGGTTGGTTCAAGAGAGGAAAGAGGGGGTAGTAATAATTAATTTGTCATTTTATCTTTATATTTTATTTATATATTTAAAAATTAATTCATACTTTAATTTAAATGCATAACTTTGAAAATTCAGCTAAATCATGTTGTGTGTACACAAAAAAACTGATATAATATTTTTATATTAATACAATAATATTTTCTTAAAAAATTAATACATTTTAATTTTTTTTTCCCCAAAAAAACGAAATCTGTTCTCTTCCTTCCTTGTAGCTTTAATATATATCTTAATTAATAAAATAATATATTTGAAGAAAATCAAGTCATTAAAAGAAGAAAAGAAAATCAAATAATAATAATCCATGAAAATATTACAGCTGAAAGAAGATGATGAATGTTTGCGCATTGCAACGAGGAGGGAGAAGGCAAAGATGTAACGACTGGCGATCGGGATAACATCATAACAGTATAACACTATTCCTATTTAACCGCCGTTCAACTCTTCTTCCTCTCTTTCCTCTTTCTTCCACCACCACCACTATCGCCTTCACTCTCCCCCAGCACCTCCTCTAACTCCATAGCAACCAAAGAGACTTGCCGCTTGACAAAAATACTGCCTCCTCATCATTTTTATCGGCGATGCTGCTCAGGAAGACAAGAAAGGGAGGAAAAAAAAAAAGGGTAGAAGTACACCTGCAAACCAATTGGGAATATCACAAACATATAAGGGCAAATTAGTCAGAAAAATTTAACTTCCTTTTGAAAAAGCCCAATTCGAAAAATGAGGGTAAATGAGGGAAGGGAAGGAGAGATTTTAGGTCTCCTCCTTTCTAAAATTTCTAACCAAGTGAGGGGAGGGATTCATTTTCCTTTTCCTCCCCCAAACACATCCCAAAAAGAGAAGTATAGGTACAATAATAAAATTATACAAATGGCTTTTTCTGAATTTCATTCACCACTAATAGATCTTAAGGGATTTAATATTTACCAGTCAAATTTTAAATGGATGTTTTCGAATCAAGTTTTATAAATCTACATAAATTACAAGTCAAACTTTTAGTATAAAGTAAGATTTGAGAACCTACTTGTATTAATATTTTTTTTTACCCTCTCAAAATATATATGAAAATCAGATTTTAGGCAACATTTTACATGAAGATGTCTTTAGCTTTGATTGAATAATTGAAACTTATCATAGAAATTCTTAGGTTATATTAAATATTTTCATTTTAGTTGTCTAGTTAATCTACACATAAATTGATACATATAATATGCAAGAAATTAATATCCTACTCTATTTCTTAAGACATGTTACAGATTGCCCTTCCCCATTCCAGTTTAATTGAATCAAACATTTTAGCTCTTTAATTCTTTCAAAGTTTCAATTATTTAAAGTTTGGGACTTCTTTCTTTTTGTTAATTAATTTTTTATGCAAGCAAGGCATTAATCTTCTGCTCTCTTTACTTAATGATATTCAGTCCTCTCATTCTTAATTGTGGGAAGTCTAAATATAGTTAATACTACTTACAGTTAATATTATCATTTTTTATTTTATATAATCAAACACGTACACATACCAACATATCAACATTATATTGAACCTAAAACCTCATCCAAGTGTGACGAGTAGTGTTTTTTTTTTTTTTTGCTGAGGTATAGATATCTTTTAATTGGAAGCAATCTTATTCGAAACACTGTCAGATACTAAATATGGCATTTCTCCCAGCACAGATTCAAACATTGACTCACCATGTTGTGAGGAACTAGTCCCTTCTGCTAAACCCAATCCCGCTGATAGTGGTAGCGTTGTTACTAAGACAACTTACTATTGATGATATAGTTCAAAATTATTCAATATGTTATACGTTACTATCAAAAGTGAAATATAATCAATATTAATATTAATACAAAATATAAAATTTACAGTAAATCACATTATGTATGAAACATCATGGGTTAACCATTATGATCCTACAAATGCGTATTAATCAAATACTCCTCCGATCCTTAATATAAAAAAAACCTATTTAACTAATTTGATTATATTAAGGATGTTAGGTAAATTAATTAATTATAAGAAATATGACATGTTTTTCTTAAAACATCATAATCATCTTTCTTAATATCCTCCCTCCCTTTATAGGAGTAATTTAGAAAAAATTGATAAATATGATAAATAGGTCTTATATTTAGAATCAAAATTAACTTAATAATTAGGAGGAGTATATGTGAATCTTATATTTGTAGCAAAACTGTTGATTTTTAAGATGAAAAAACTCAAGACCATTGCAGCATTTTTTTTTTTTAAACATGAGCATCTTCCGTTGATGCTCCTTTTTTCAGAGAAAGTAAAAAGTAAACCTTTCTTAACAAAATTTAGTTATTTCATTTATAAATTTCAAAATTTAAATCCCAAGCAATTTGTATAAGAACGGGACATATTAAGCTTGATTTTCAATAGAGAAACTGAGTAATTTAGAGTCAATTGACTAATCAATGTTGATTAGGAGCAGCCAAGCAGGCCCTGAGTATCGCACAAAAACATAGAAATAAACTGTTTTGTTATTGAAATATGAATAATAAACTTTAAAAATACATTTTGTCTCGCATTAATAGTTTTATATTTGGTGATACTGATGCTTAGTCTTTAAACTAGGGCCCACATGTTATTGCCAACAAAAAAAAAACACTTAGCAGATGAAATAAAATAAACAACTTCATGGTATATTAATTTTAAGAAAATTTTAACTATAAGAATTAATTATTTGTTTTGATTAAAAACTTATAATTTAAATTCTGATTCTCTATAAATTGTCATCGTACCTTAAAATTGCTTCAATGATTATCAATTCATTATATTGATAAAACAAAATCTAAATATCATGATATAGATATCTTTCGAGTAAAATTACAGTTACCTCTGGCTCTAAATTATCAACTTTCCTTTTTATGTTACATATTTGAAAGTAATAATCCATTATTTTCATTTTTTTAATTTGAATAAATATATAATCGCCCGTCTAGATTAGCGATGACATCTTCGATGAAAATTTAAGATTAAAATGAAATATATTTTAAAAGAATAAATGATAAAATATCCTCATCATTTTCAATAAAATCTAAAAAAATCATTTTAATTTACTCTTAAAGTCTTATTAATCTGTGGTCGCGTACTATGGAGAAGTATTTTTAATCAGTGACTGATGTGTAATTATTGATTTAGATAATATTTTGTTAGACACGTTAATTATCAGGATTTATTTGGATTTTGAATAGATTTAAATAAGATTTGAACTAGATATTAGATAGAGTATTTAAGTAGCATTAGGATAGGATTACCCATGACTTATAAAAATATGGGGTAGCTATCAGTAGTCAATTCATTTTTTTTCTTCTGTGTTCTCCTCCTTCACTCTTTCTTCTACAGATAGACAAATGAGAGACCTAAAATGGTTGGGGAAATGTGCCCTGTTTGGTCGCAGAAAGGAGGACGCTGATGATGATGCACCAATTGCTACTAGACTCAGAAGCCAAGATAAAGCAGTTGAGCCTTCGCAAACTGATCAGCGCAATGGCCTAACTGCTTCAAACAATCAAACAGGTAGATTCAATTATATATATTAGTCTCTTCTTTTTTTTCCCGATATAACTCAAAATATTCTCAAATCACTTTGAATTCGAGTCTAATCTCTTTCGGTTAAAATGTTCTTTTCAGGATTTAAACTTGTGTTCTTATCTTTATGGAAATAAGACTGTTTACTATTTCAACCAACAACTTGTTAGTATACACATCATTGTCACACGTGACTTTACATATAATGTCAACAAATTAAATATAATCAATAGATAACTTTCAAGCGTTAAGCTTCCAAAACAATTCAGTCTCCAGAATAGAAAGTTTATTTTCATGAAGGATCTTATATTCAGTATATTAATTTCAGTGCATTCCAATATATTAGTGCGTCTTTAAACTAATCTAAAACTCACTTGTTTTAATTTTCTTGCTTTCTGCAGATGATCAAACTCAACATTTAACGCATCAGAGCAGTGGCTCTAAAGTAACGAACAGTCGTACTGAAGTCCACAGTTCATCATCCAGTCGAACAAGGCACAACAGATCTGTGTTCCCTCACGAAACGCATAGTTCAAGGCAAAGCACCGAAACAAAATCACCTTCAAAGAGTTGCTATGAGCACAGAGAGAAACAAATTACTGCAAGTAAAAGATCTGCTCATCAACCTAGGAGCGAAGAAGTCAGTAATAATGCTTCATCTTCTTCTTCTCATCAAGTTGGGCGAGAGAAAATGAGAAGTGTTAGACTTTCAGGAGAATCTTCTAAACACAGACCATTATTAGAAGATCCCGATGACCTACCTGTAGTGGAACTTCACACTCGCCATATTAGATCCGAAGGTACACCCTAAAGTTTGGTTCTTAATTTAACTGTATATATTTCTTCCATGTGAAAAATTTTACAGTATAGTATCAGATGTGTACTTACTAGTTATGTTTTGTGAACTTATATATGTATATATAAGGCTTAATGGCATATAACTAGCTATAGCTATACATACATATATATATATATATATATCAATAGCACCTGAGATATATCTGGATATACATCTGTATCAGCAATACTAATTAATACGTGACAATGCAACGTACCTCACTGAAGAATATTGCATGTTATCACTATTAACATGGTGGTCGTTTTTTCAAATCCCGAGAACAGCCTCTCTACTTTTATAAGGAAGGGATACGGCTACGTATATCTCTCCCTCATCTCCCCATACTCTATCTGGTGGGAGCCATGTGCGCTAGGCGGCCTTTAAATATGTATACATATGAGGACGTCTTTTGCACCAAAGTGTTATAGTTTAT